GGGACATTTCAAATAGAAGATTAATGTCCTGCAAGCATCCATTTCCTCATTTCTTTCCTGTGAAAGCTGGTATTTAATCCCTGGCTTCCACCTGTGCTTTGTCTGAAAAGGAATCCAGCCTTTTGGACAGAACAGATGGAGTCCTTTGTAACTGCAGATGTGGCAGGAAGAGATGGGATAAAACCAACTGTTTGGGCAGGTCTGAGATAGCTTTTGCATCATTTCTGTATCTTGAAGTGTAAGGAAATAAGTAAGTGGTACAAAACCACTGAAGTATAATTTGAATAGCAGTTTGTTGTGAGACTGGGCTGGGTGTGGTGTGTCACTGCCTGGCATGGCAGCTACAACTAATGCCAGTTTCAGATGGATATTCTCATTCTAATATCACAATATCCGTGCAGAAACTTCCACCTCAAGAGCTCAACAGATTTCTTACACAGTGACAAATCTACAGCTCTGAGTGATCAAAGAATTCAGTGACAGCTGTGTTGAGTCCTGGTTTTGCAAATAATGAGACATCCCTATAATTTATAACATGAGTTCTTCTGATTGTACTGAGACTGCTCATATTAAAACTCAGCATGTATAAAAGCTTGCAGGGTTATTTTCTCACCAGTATTGTATAGAGATGTCCTGTTAGCATATACTTAGAAATGTATTTGTCATCATTAACCAGGTATTTTCTCATTGATTGTTTTAGGCTGCAGATAATGACTGTGCAAAACAATCAATTTAGGATAGTTCTTTAATATTCACCTAAATTAGTTTATTAGAGATGGACAGAAGCTAATAGAGTATTTTTAGAGTATTTTGTTTTAAATACACTGTTCCTGTTCTGTGCTGAGTGGAACAGGTATGAGCAGATCTATCAATTAATAATTTCAGTGTAAAGTGTTAATTGTTCATAGGGAATTAGTTTTCAAGTCACTCTTGCATAGTGAGCTGTAGTCTCAGACAGGAAATACTGTGAGGAGAAAGAAATTTCAAATTCATTTAATGCTTAGTTCATTTAAGATGAGCCTAAATTAACTTAATTTTAAAAGCATTTGCCTTTAGTCATGAGAGTTTATTTAGACCTGAAAGGTTCTGTGTAGTTACATCCCCTGGATGGCTTTGCAAATAGTGATGCTCCAGACAGGTGCCAGCTGTGTGGGTTTTTCAGGAAGCTTTTACAGGAAGCTGTCCCTGGTCTGAGCTGATGGAGTCAGGGCCTGGGACACTGAGCACCAAGGCAGTGAGCACACATTACCCTAATCCATGAGAATCAGCCTGGTTTGTTTTTACCATCTTCATCTCTTTGGAAATCTGTCATTTCTTTCCCCACTCAATTTCTGAGCATGGCATTTTGCTCTCTTGGGAGCTGGAACATTTTGTGTCCTGCTTTATCCCCTGGGTCTCATGGTCAGCACTTCACATGTGCTCAACATCCCATCCTAAACTGCTGTGTAGGTTTGTGTAACCTCTGCATGAAAACACACACCTGCTCATTCATTTGAAGGTTGCATAGTATTTTCTGATCTCTTACAGCAAAGTGGAAGGGAAAAAGCAAAGTTCAGTGATGTGAATATGCTGGTAATTGCAGGTATAGAGTAAGCTCATAGTCCAGCTTTTGTAGCTATGGATTTAACTTTTCTGAGGTGCAGTTCTGGGAGCCAGTGTTATGAACAGATCTCAAGTTAAAATTCTTTAAACTTCCAGCAAGTATTCCTGTTGAATTATCCAAGTGACTCTGTACAGTAAGGAGCTAGAAAAATGATATTTTAAAAGACTTTTTCCATCTAGGAGTAATTGTAACTTGAGCACAATTGTGCATTCATCGAATTGTGATCATAAACACTGTTTAAGTGCAATACGTAACACTGAAGGAGCATTCTAATTGTGTTTATGAAGCAATGCTTTGGTACATAAGGTTGTTGACAGGCTTGTGGTGTTGTTGCTGGGTAATAACCAAGGTATCTGTGCTGATAATGGGATTAGACTGAAGCACAAATGTCTTTGATTCATGAGGTAGATCTGCTTTGTGGGTGAATCCTGGGCAGCCTGTGGAGGCTTGTGTTGTCCTCCACTACCCAGCCAGGATGCTTCCATCCTCTGGCAGCTTTTTGCAAATTCACTTTTGGAAAGAGCAATGAGGGATTCTGCACACCCAGCTCCCTTTCCAAGTAGTCTTTGTGTTATAGAATAAACAAGCCAGTACTGACCAGGAAAGATGTGTGTAAAGATGAAGGGTTTTATCCTTGAGTGCCAAATATTCTGTTTAGAGTTGAAAACACATAGAATATCTTATTAAAATCAATGTTGATTTGTAAGAGATTCTTTAAATGAGAAAAGCACAGAAGTCTCCTATAAAGGGTTAACAACTTAGCTGTTAGCATTAATCTCAAATAATCTTATAAGAATTAAGCACCATAAGGTATTTGAATAGTGTAAGGCCGTTAGTTGCTGGCACAGCACAAGAAGTGCTGTACAGAGGAAATATAGAAGTGGTTATCTGTAGTTCTTTTATTTCAGATATTTCCACCTTCCTGGCAGAGCTTCTGTCCTCTTTGGCAGTGAAACTGTCACCCTGTTCTAGAGAGGTATGGTACAGGCACCAGTGTTGGGACTGCCCAGAAGCACCAGGTAAAAAAAAAAAAAAATTGCACAGAGGAAAAGACACAATTGTTAGGAAGGCAGTAGGATGGAGATCACTGCACAGCTGGTGTCTCCTTCCATGAATGCCAAGGATAAAAGTGGGCTTGCAGAGAGAGTCACCATTAATACATTTTAAAATAGTCACTTGGCAGGCTCAGGCACCACAGTTGGATGCTGGTGGAGACCTGTAGTGCCACTGCTGCCTCCTCGATGGAGGTGGCAGCCTAAAAGCTGATGCTCTTTGGCACTTTTGCACAAAAAGAAAGAATAAATTTGACAAGTAATACAGTAATGTAACATCAATTCATTAATATTTGCTTTGGCTGCATGTTGTGGATTCCCTGTAAAAAATGTTAAAAACTTCAAGTGGCTCTATGAGCACTGCAGCAGCTACAGGAATTCTGGCATGTTAGGGCAGACAGGATTGTGTAAACTTTAATTAGGGCTTGGGAAGCTGAACCATACTGATAAATAAAACATGTTAGCAGCCTCACCCAACTGGTTGCAGTTCCAGTTCTGTGCATGTTAGTGATTCAGAAGGGTGAGACTTATCATGCAAAACACCTGAAATGAACTTGAAAATAGCTTTGCCTTCATCTGGTGTGGAACGAACTTTAAAAGAGGAATTTCCCCCTGCCTGCTGAGTCTGTAGGGATTAGTTATTTCATGATTCTGAAATGCCTGGTGCATTCCTCTATTTCATGTATTTGCTGATTTTTAAATGGAATTAGGTTTTGTAAATATTTTGTCAGCCCCATTTCCGTGGGTGTCCAGTTTCTATAAAACCTGAAGAAATGCTGTGTCAAAGCCCTGTGTTTAGCCATGGTTTATTCTATAGCATCTCCAGCACTAAATAACAGCAATTACAGCTTGAGAGAGCAGGGAGTGATTACTTAGGGTTGTTTTTCCAGTTAACATTGCATGTGCTTTCCTACCTTTAACATGGAAATAGAATTTCCTCCAAGTACCAAGTATTTTCCAGCATAAAAAATGAAATGATTTGTCGTGCCAAACACTTCAAACTATGTTGCTAAGCATTGCCTCCTCTTATTGCACTAGTTTTAAAATCCAGTTTTCAATCATTTACTGTCCTTTTGATGGCCTTTTAAACAGGTTTCCCCCAAAACCATTTTCTACTGCTGAAAAATGCTTGTCCCATTTTGATTGCATCACAGAAACCTCAAAGAAATTTACCACAGACTGTGGGTGAAAGAAGCACTATGTGGGGTGAAGTAATAAATCAAAGTAATTGGATTTTTATATGTTTCTGAAATCAAAGATTAATTTATGATTGAGATGTGATTGTGTATTCTTATGGAGTGAAATACTGGAATATTCTTTTATAAGAAAATTTAACCCATGTAGTATTAAATTCTGCAATTAAATCTATCTCTATAATTGATATATAATAAATGATTTCCCAAAATTTAAATTTTACGGTTGAAGAGCACACCATGAACTATGTAAAAGTATGATCTTTGTGAATAATTTTTTTAAGAAGCACTTTCCCATTACCAACTAGCATGTGAATGAATTTTAGATTCTCTCATATGTTATGATCTGTAAAAGTGACATTTCTTCAATCTGTCTGTTAATGGGCAAATCCATCCTACAAATGCTGAAACAAAGCACCTTATACTATGCTGCTTAAACTTGCTTGTAATTGCACCTTTTGTTATCTGCAGAGTTTTCTTAATGGGTATTCTTGTGTGAAATCGTTGTTCCCTGTGGGTCTGGGGGACAATTAACCAACCTACAGCATCATTTACTTAGTTTCTCTTTCAATACAATATTGTATTGTGAGTTTAGTGCTTCAGAAATAAATGCTAATTTCATTTGTCTGCTTTGGTTGTGTATCATTTATTTCTCTTAATTTGATTTTGTGTAAGTCCATTGTAAAACTCATAAGAATTTGAAAATTGAGCGTATTTTTGCTAGAAGCGTGACTAATTCTTCCCCTGCTAAAGTAGTCCCACTTCATATTTAATTATTTTAAAGTATTTTCGCTTCAAAATAAGCTATATTTTAATTTAAACCATTCTTTAACTTCGGGCATGTATTTATGTATAGCAGCTAACCTTGATGCTTGTTGCTGTAATTATTTAATTTTTAATATGTTCATGTACCTCAGAGGAGCAGCAGCAAAGAAACAACGAAACAGCATCTCTCCTGTGGTTATGGAATTTGCACATCTTGCACTGGTTTTGTACTATATAAAGTTTCTATTTCTGTAGGAGTTGTAATTTCAACTAAAATAAGTTATTTCTTGTTGAACAGACAGCAACCCTTTCCGTCAAACTGACAAAAATCCACATTTTAACAACAAAATACACTTCAAAGAGTCATTTGAACCTTAGGTCAACATCTGTATGTAACTCCAGCCTTGAAGACTTTATTGCATTTTGTACTGTAAAACATGAGGTAATTCCACTTAAAGGAAGTGTAGAATTCTAGTCAGAAACATGAAGTTCAACTGAAAATTTGTCCTATGTAAGCAGTGTTTTTTTTAAACGTGTAATTTGAAATTGAATTCCTTGGCCGTGCAGTGCTTGCTGCCGGTGTCCTGCACTCCAGTGCGATATTCACTGAAGTGTTGCTGGACACTGGACTTGTTTCCTTGGAATGAAGCTCTGGAGAAGTTTCCTTGTGTTGTCTGAAAGGACCCGGCTACATCAGTGTTCTGCTTCTCTGCAGCCTTTGCTGCGGACAGCTCATTAACAGATGACAATTACTGTGCCTGGCTTATGAGCTGGCTCTGTGCTTTCATTGTTGAAGGGCACAAAGCAGAATTTCCAGCTGACAAAGGGGTCTGTGCACCACCCCTCCTCTGTCAGCTCCACATCGTGGCACCGGCACCAGTAGGCTGCAGCCAGGAGAAAGCTGTTGATGAAGTACAGCCAGGGCACGTTCATCTCCACATAGGCTGGGATTTGCACACCCAGCAGCAGAACCACGACCTGGAGAACAACAAACGGTGCCCAAGTGCCAAGGAAACACAGGAGGAGCCTGCTCAAGAGCTGCCACTTAAAGCAAGTGGTGTTGTTGTTAGGTATGTAGGGGAACATCAGCACCGGCTGGCTGGAAAAGAAGAGGAGCCTGGCAGACAGCAGCATGGTTGTCACCTCCTTCCAGCGAGCCAGCAGAGCCGTGCCCAGCAGCAGCACCATGGCACACGACACCGAGTAGCTCTGCAGGCTGCCAGAGAGAGGGCACTGGGAAGGGGAAACTCTATTGTGCATTTCCAGCTCTTCAGAGACAGCAGGAACTTGGAGAGTGCAAAAAATCACAGAAATCCATATAAACACCACAGCAAATACATAAAGTAACTTCCGAGCTCTTGTAGGGAATTGGGATGTTTGGGAGATGCTGGTGTAATAATCCAGAGTAGCCACAAGATACACTGGGTAAGGCAAAATCCCATAGGTCAGAGAAGTGATCTGAGTGAAGAGGCAGATATGGTACTCTGTGAATCGCATGCCCCAGAGTGCAAAATCCTCAAAACAGAAAATGAAACAGATACTCAGCAGCACTGTGAAATCGAGAAGTGCCACTGAAATGCAAAAGTATCCCATAAAACTGACTTTCACAGGCTTTGGCTTGATTTGCAACATGAAGAAATCAAGGAAGACTTTTCCAAGCATAATCAGGACCAACGTGTAGCTGATTTCAAGAGGTTGGTTGGTGTGGGTGCAGTGGTACTGAGCAGAACCATTTTCACAGAGTCTGGCAGCCATCCTCCAGTGGTGAAGACAGCAAAAAAAAAAAAAAAAAGTCACAGAGTGCAGTGCTTCATCTCTGAAAAGATAAAAACATTTGTAAAAATGTATTTCTGTATAGCTCTACCAACTAGTTCCATCGTAGCAACTACCCAATTTGTCTGAATTTTTCAGGCCCCTTAATGAAGAATAAAGAGCTTCACTAACTCATCATTAAATTATCAACAACTGCCTAAATTTTGTTTTCTTTGAATTACGTTCTTGAGAGTTAGAAGGTCAACATAATTTATTTTTCTAGCTAATGACCCGAGGAAAGGTTTAGGAAATAAGGTTGACTATGTTCCTTCCCTTTAGAAGGCATGGAGAGGTCCTTTTGTCCAGCTGGGCAGAGGGATGGAGGTTTCAGAGCTCCTGCATTTTCTGAAAAAATTACAGGACAGAAATCGTACAAGACACTGTAGGAGGTGCTGCATCACAGTTCATTATGCTCATAGAATCTGTAGGAATTTGAGACTGCACTAATATCCTAAGCAGAAAAAGCATCAAGCTTTTTCAAGCATTACCTCCTTTTTTTTTGCTACAAAAATCTTGGAACTCCAAGGCAATCCAAAGCACAAGGGCTTCATTATTGAATTGGGCTTTTTTGTTCATCTCTAGGCTACAATGACAGAGACTTCAGCTGGTTTTCCCTTCAGACTTCCACAGGTTTCTTTATGATAACTCTTTTCCAAGTGTTAATTCCTAAGGAAAGCCAATATAGGGTGGCTCTGTGTATGTGAGCAAGACAGCTTTATCTAATCAGTTTTATCTGATTTTCTCTCTCCTTAAAGAAGCACAATGGTGTCTATGATCCCAGTGAGAGCAAAGAAGAGCTGAAGAGCCAAGGCAGCTGTAAAAAGGAACTGACTCTTAGGCTCTGTGTTAACAGCAAATTGCTTAAATTTAAGCAGACATCTGCATTTTATGACGGGTTTGCCAGAGCCAGTGAACATTTGTGTTACTGCACATTTGAGCTAGTGTGTCCTGAGAGCAGAATTACAGCAACTACAAGTCCTTGGCAGCACAACCTGAGAAGCATCCATGGAGTTGGTTTACAAGCCTACCTGGGCTGGCTGCTTCACTCTTCATTTGCTCGAGTGCATCCTCTGAAGCCTGATCTGTCTTTACCGTACGGCTGAATTCCGGTGTGTTTTGTCTTCCGGTACTGGACGCTGCACTTGTGTACGCAGAAAGGAGGGAGCCTGCACGCAAACAGGGTCTCGTTCAGTAAGATGATGATGATGATAATAATAATAATAATAGTATTGTAAGGCGGAATCACCTGTGCTGGGCCGTGTGGGCACAGCCCCCATCCTGCGCACAGAGGACCCCGCGGCTGCCGGCGCCTCCCGCTCCTCGTCCCGGCCGCTCCCGGCCGGGCTCCGCCGCTGCGCCCGGTGCTCCCGGCGGGTTCCTGCTCCTCTTCGGAGCCAGAGCCAGGGAGGCAGCCCGGGGGGCTCCGAGGGGACACCCGGGCTCCCCCCGCCCAGCCCCGGCACCCACCTGCGGCCGCCGCTCCGCGCTCCCGCCCGGCGGAGCCGCCACCTCCGCCCGCCCCAGCGCGGGGACCGGGCGGGACCGGGCGGGACCGGGCGGGCGGGGAGCGACGGTGCGGGCTCGTGTCGGGGGAAACAGGGCAAAACACAGGTACCACGTAACGTATATAACACATACAGCACATGGAACACATGGAACAGACGATATAGAACAGCTGTTAAGGAAACATGGAACACACATGACACATAACATGTAATACATAACATATAGCACACATAAACATGAATAACACATATAACACACACAGCACACATGACACACAGTACATATAACACAAAATAAGTGCCCTGGGGAGCAGGTTGCATGGTGAAGCAGCCTCATGGTACCCCAGCACCAAGTGCAGCACAGTGGGATGCCCAGATTCTTATAAAAGTGGCAGATAAATATTTTGAGTTCTAAATATGTGACGTGTGTAGGTTTTTTTATTGAAAAACAAGATCAGTATTCTGTAAAACCTGACAGCTGAAAGCAATCGTCAGCAGCATTCATGATAGTTACTTATCCACACAGTGTTTATTAGGACTGTTGCACAAATTGGAGTATAGTAAGAAAATGTTTACACCTGACAGAAGTATTGCACTTTCTGAGAGCACCCAGTCCTCCCACAAGTATCTGAATACTGATTCTTTCATGGTAGTTTTCTTCTTAGTTCAAACCCAGAGCAACACAATGAGAGTGATTTTCCTGGTGGGAGCAAATGAACTGTTTGGATATCTGGGTTTGTTTCTGCTCATGTCTCTATTTCTGACTGCAGAAACTGCTGCACAGCCCTGTGTGAGGAGATGCCTGGATGGTGGGAATGAGGAACCAGGAAGGGACCGGGAAAGTTTAGGCAATTTTTCTGCTGATAAAAATTCCAATGAGTGTGTGACCTCCAGACTGTGTCAACTCTGTGCTCAGTGAGCCTTCTGGAGGTGTTCCACAGCAGGGCCCACAGAGCGCAGTTCTGCCCACATTACATCCTTTGTTCATGCTGTAGTTACTTCTCAGCTTCCCTTTCCCTCCAACACCTTGTGCTTGTTTGAAAGTTTGGTTTTAACTCACTGATTACTCTTGTTTTCTGCTCCTGAATGCTCTATTTCATCTTCTATCCCAGAGAAATGATGGTACAAGATGGGATATCCTGGAAATCAAATGCAGGGCTTGGTGCTGGCAGGTCCTTGGTGAGTCAGGAGCTGCTCACTCCATGTTGGATAAGGACTGCCTCTTCCTTCACAGGAAAACTTGCAGGTACTTGACAAGCACCTCTCCTTGAGGAGAGTGGTATATAAAATAATACAGAGGATCTCTTCTAAAAACTGTCTGTTAAAAGATCATGCAGTGGTTCCGTGTTGTCTAGGATATTTGCATAGAGGCTTCCTTCCTTCTTCAGGGCTGTTTCCTGCTGTTGGTTGCTCACATTTTGGATTCTGTTGTTCAACTTAATGGAAAGGGTAGCATTGTAGGGAAAAGGAACAAGAAAAAGACCACCTGTAATTTCAAATCTAACTTGATAATTTTCTGAAAGAAGCAGTAATTGAACAAAGTGTCCTCACTGAACAGGTGTTGGGCTCTACCCTGTCCTCCCTGCTGTGCTGGAGGTCAGCACTGCAGCCCCATGGGGCACTGCAGCCTCTGAAGTCACTGAGGAACAGCATAGGGACCAGCAGAGTCCCTGCATGTTGCTGCTGCCTGAATGAGGGCAGGAGGTTTCCTTCAGACAGGGGTAGGTGCAGAACATGAATACAACTCCTTTTCAAGGAGTGTGGGCTGTGCTTCCTCTGCAGTTAGAGCTGAGTCTTTACTTTCCCCCGCTCTTCCTGTTTGAGATGTGCTGTTCTTTAGAAGCTCATTGCCACATGTCCCTTTATTGTGTTGAGCAGAGGAGTAAATTTGAACCTCACCTCTGTGTGTTTCAAGCAATTTATGTTGTCATCTTGGACACCTCAAGCCACTTGGGCAAAGACAGGAGATAAATGCATTTTTATGCATTTTAGTGTCACGTGTGGGGAAAGCTGCAGACTGTGAACTCCTGCACAAATGATTATGAGCATTCCCATTCCCAGCCAGGGGCTGGGGGTGACTCACTCTGGAGGAGAATGGTCCCCACAGCCAGGGGCAGTGGAATGTCCCCATAGAGTGTTCTCTGGAACACGTCTGTCTGTGAGGTGAGTGCCAGTCTAACAGCCTTGCTTGCATCCTTCCCTTTTCCCTGGCTGTGCCTTTAACTGGGTGTAACTCAGCTGAGCCTGTTTAATGCCCTGTTAGGGTTTGTGCCTTGTCAGCACTGGATTAGCAACCCGAGTTTTGCAATGGCCAGTGGTTGTGGAGCTGCTGGTCCTGAAAAGCTGCATGGCTCGGAGACCAAGTTTATGAAGATTTTATAATTTTAATAGAATATTTAACTAATAGAATATATAATCAGTAAAATATTTAACCAACTTTATTTTTAATTAACTTTACTTTTAAAGAAGAAAATGCTTGACCAATGTCCCATTTGCAAGATATTTTATTTTTCGAGAATCCTTTAAAAGCACAGACAATATGTGATGGATCCTCATTTCAATCATTTGAGGTGCTCATCTTAAAAGAATCAAGTTTGTTTTTAGGAAGATCTTGTTGAGAAGAAACACACTTCCATAGTTATTTTAAGTTGAAGACATCTTTTTCCACGATTCTAATTCTGCTTTTTCAGTGAAAATCCAGAAATGCAGAGCTGGTGTCAGCCTTGGTGTTTCCTTGGTTTGTGTCCCTGCTGTGTGCTGTCACTGCAAGGTGTAAGCAAGGAAAGTTGTAACCTCTCCTGCTGCTCATGATGTCACTGCAGTGTTAATGAGTTTTTGTCTTTGACACAAACAGTTTTTCAAGGAACTGGAAGAAAGTTGGCACAAGCACAGCCCTAAAAACTGCATGAAATTAAATTACATGAACCAGTAATTAAAAAACCCAGTTCGTGGTTTACTGGTCATTTTAACACAAAACTAAGACAGAAGCCAACGTGGAGTGCAGGGTGTGATCAGACTCTCTTTGTGTTGCTCACAAACACCAAAGCAGAGCTAAAAATATTTTGTAACCTTTTAATATCTTACTGCTTCTCACTAGATTTCAATTTAAGCAAATTCTGTTGTGGCACTTTCATTTAAAACTAAGCTAAAAAGGGGAGAAATGTAATTTCAATCTCACCCTCAGTGTGAAGAATTCAAAACTCCATCTTCTGACTCCCTACAAACAGCCTAATTGCTGGTTGAACACTCACGTGTCAGACAGAGAAAATAAGAATTTACTGTGAGGGCCAGTGAGAGTAACCTGGGGCTCTGCTCTGTGTTTTTATTGATTAGCAAAGATAAAGTGCCTGAGTGTCTCTCTCCTAAGCACCTCCATCCCCCACTAGATCCAGGCTCCAGGGGACTTCAGGGATCACAAACGGAACCTTTCCTGTGTTTGCCTTCTGTTGTACATGACGAGGATTAATGGTTGTTACCACCTGCAGAAAATCTTTGATCTTTATCAGAAGCAGGATCGGTGTTTACCCAGTACTGTTCCCTCTTTACTTCAACTTTCAGTGAAACTGTTTGCACAGTGCTGTTGCTAACTCTAAAGTAATTCCCCTCTCAGAAATCTTTTATCACAAAACAATTTTTTTCTGTGATCATTATTTTTACATACAAAAAAGAAAATACACATGGCAAAGAGAATGCCTCTGTGTCAGCCAGGCAGTAATGGACTCTTTGTGGACACTATCAGGAAATGTGCCTTTTGTTTTCCTGCACCTGTTTCTGAATTACAAATAAAATAATCCAATGCTTTATTAAATAAAATGAGAAGCCCTAATGAAATTGTACCAGCCATTACCAGGAAGTCTATTGAAAACATTCAGCAGCTGCTTCAGTCTCAGTTCACTTACACTGACAGGATTGTTTCACCCTTCTCCTTGTGCTCTGCGTGAGAAGGGCACAGTGCCTTGGACCACCTCACACCACTCTGCTCTCACTCCCTTGGTCAGAATCAATAAATGATGCTCAACAATCCAGTACCTTGGACTTGTAGAAGTTTGTTAGAAACCAGTGTCCTAGGCCTTGCATCTGAGTGTTTTGCAAACATCAGCTTATCCTGACAGTAATAGAAGAGCTAAAAATCTCCTGTTTGATTCTGATTCTATAGAGAGGGGTTGATCAGAAAGGTTGAGAATCAAATGGGTGAGTCCTTCTCATTTAGACAAAATACCTCAGCAGCCCGAGGAATGCCCTGGAGTGAGCTGGGGGTCAGCCTGGCTCAGCAGAGTTAAATGTCACCAACTCCTTCGCTAAAGGTGTCCAAGAGAATTGATCCATCTCTGCTGTATTTAAAAGTCAACTCATCTATCACAGCAGTGCTGGTGAGTAAGTGGAGACTGTTTCCCAGGACAGACTGTAATTCCTAAGAAGAGCTGCCTCATTCTAAAGAAAAGGTGAGTCCAGCACGATTGTCTGTGCTAAACCTTGCTTGAAAACCAGAGAAGTTGCATTTCAGCTGCTTTGGATCCTGGGAAATGCTTGATACAGACTTTCTTGTACAAAGAGTGTTACAAAGAATGGTGTTCAAACATGCCTGATTCAAGGTTTGGTTTTAAAAATGTATGAGAAGTAGCTGGATGAAATGTCAGCCAAGGTGTCAGGGATACAGCCCTCCCTTTCCACAGCAGCAGGGAAAGGAATAGCTGGGAAAGGGCAGAAGGAGCAGTGGGAAGACATTCAGGTCCTGAGCACTGAGTGTGAGCAGGAAATTATCTCCAGAATCTGTCTCCTGCTCTGG